TCTCTCAATAGGCTCAGGTTTCCTTGCTGCTGCTTACTAAGAAAGAAAGAAAGCCAAGCATCACCTCGAACTTGTGACTTAAAGATCTGAAGAAGCATTGCACAGCGAGGAGATCAAATGCGAAGCAATACACAGAGTACACTATCGACGATGTCACAAGCTGCAAGTACACAGTGGAGCGTCCCCCACTGCTTCGGAGGCATCTGATGAGCGTCTTTGTTAGTGCCGGTCTCATCACTGCCTCCGGCACCCCCTGCACTCTGAAAGACAGATTCAAGGATCTCTGCTGCCGGTTGTGGTTCTCATGCGCTGTGCCCGTTGTATTTTGGGATCCCCACACACATGAACCTCGACTGAGGGAACTTTTCCTGTACGCTGATCTGGCACGATTGCTTGTGGCTTCTTAGTCATTGTGAAACCAGCATAGGTGTTGATGGTGCCAGTGGTGGTAGTTCTCATCTTTTTCTCGGTGTAGGAGACGTATTGGCACGGTTGTACTGGGCACATGGGTTGCGAGGTTCGCATCTCTTCGCACCGGCTGCAGTTGACGTTGCATCTCACTCCTCCAAACATATATTTTGTAGCTGCCCTGAGTCGTCTTTTGGCGTATTCCATGAGTTCGATCAATTGGTGGGTGTCCAGCTGATTGACGAGGTGGTACTTGTCGTTGAGCTGTGTACTGGTTAGATTGTTGCCTCGAAGTTCTTCACCTCCTCGCCAATGGCTATGCGCCCGGCTCATGTCGGCGTTGACTTTGTAGGGCAAGTTTGACATGAAACTGCTACAGACGTTGCGACGTTCACGGCAATGCAATACCTAGCCTATGCAAAAGAGCAACATGCAAAACGTTCCTGTTTTATCTGAACTGGCTGTCGGGCGCTGTGCGAACGAAGAGAACTGGGAGTAGCGCGGCCACCGATGTCACCGGCGACCAATCATTGAGTCGCCGTCTTCCTTGCCAGAAAAAATGCCTGTAGCTGTGGTACTTTCCCAATGATAGGTGAGGATTGATCTGGCTTGAAGGATGGTGTATTCCAAGCCAAGCATGAGGTGCAGTTGCAAAGGCTGTTGTCTGGTGACTCTGTCTGGCGGTATGTAAACGTCCATCCGGAACACTTGCGTCGCCATAGATCCCCATGCGAGTCCAGCTTCGGCGGCTTTTCGCTTGGGCATGGCGTGCGCTGTTTTGGAGGGTTGGGGCTTCTACTTGGAAACTACGGAAACAACTAAGAACCAACAGTCACAGAAGACATGAAAACCTTGACAAAAGGTGCCAGTGCAACTGTCGCTGAAGCAAGGTTTGTTTCCCGGCATTTGCTCTGCTTCACCCTTGAAGGACGTGTCGTACGTGTAGCTTGCGTACTTGTGGGCCAGGTAAAAGGTGTGGAAGCCAATGTTGCACTTGCCGATTGATGAAAAAATGCCGGACGTCAGTTGGGGTGCGTTCATCTTGTCTTGGGATTGGAGAGCCGATTTGTCTGTAGCGATGAGAGTCGCGTGACCAGAACTTGGTGTTGAGGCCCTCGGTGTCCAGCTTGGTCTTGCTGATGTACCACATGCGTTTGCTCGTGAGGGAAAATTGAGTGATCACGTAGTGCTCCATGGCGTAGTGGACTGGTTGTGCTGATGTCGCACGCTCGGTCGTGTAGTTGGATCACCGCATTAATCTTGTCCCGGATGTCCTGGTTGTATTTGGCATAGCTTCGTTCCACGGAGCTGTTTTGTGTGGGGCTTCGTAAACTGGCGCACCATATGTGAATTTGCATGAACATGTAAAGGATCTCCTTGATCGGCATATGCTGGAGCTGAAGGTTGGCCGGTCTCGCCGAGGATTATCACTGGGCGGGGGCGAGGGCGTAGATTGCCGTCTTGCAGCTCCATGTTGCCACTGCAGAAGTCAAGAAAGGCTACTGCGAGGGAAAGTCTAAACCACTACAAAAACGGAACCGAAAAAGTTGCGTATTCACTCATAGGTTTGGCGTAGGTGTATGCGATGCGATGAGAGGTGCATAGAAGTTCTCTTTTTTGCACCAAATTGCTGCTGTACATTGCTTTTGCTGCATGTGGATCTCATCGTCTGCCAGGTTGTGGCAAATTGAAGCCAAGTGTTTTTTAAATTATCCTTGTCTTTGTTCGGAATCTCATTGGCCCTTATGTGAACGTAGCGAGGACAATGCGATCGGACTTCAACATGCGTGTCCCATGTCGGTCGAAGGGGCTGAACTCTGTGCCGGGAAGTTTGACGTTGTGGTTTCTGCCATGGTGTTGTCCTCCTGGTGATAGGTCTGGTCCGTCTTCTTCCTCTATCCATAGGTGCCCTTGCCGAAAGGGCGTCGCTGGTATGAGAACGTTTCTGGACTCCCCCCTGTTGTACTTGTCGATAAGGGTTCTCAGGGTGGAGGATTAAAAAAAATTAAAATGGATCAAAAACAAATTTAGGCTGAACGGATCAAAAAAAACTTAGGAAGGATCAAAAAAAACTTAGGGTCTGGGGATCTGCTGCAAACAATAGCACGGTAAGTGCTATTCCAATATTTCCGCGTCGAAACTGTGCGAAACTATGGTGACAATCCCAGAAAAGTCTGGGACCGTTGGTGAAACCAGAGTTGCTGGCTTTGAAAGAAGGCACACAGCTAGCTGTGTGGCGATGGGACTTTCAGATTTGGCACTGAAGAATGGGTCCTGGAGACTCACGCAACCATCTGTGCTGCTGCTTCATGGCGGGGTCGCGGTGGCCGCCCCTAGCTCGTCGCTGCCACCCACCCTTCTACCACGGCGCCTCCCCTACCGTTTGCACGACGGTGATAGTTATGTAATTACCTGCTGGTAAATGCATTTTATATTGTATATACACGAGGTTACCACATATATGTGTATAGCTATATATATATATATATGTGTGTGTGTGTATGTATACTGCTACTAGTAATAACGGTACTTAGAGTAATCATAATGGTTCTCATAGGAAAAAGTAGGAATAATAAAGATGATAATATTAATCCCATGATTGTAGTAACACCAACATACTATGAGACAGTATGAACAAAACCACAATTTTATAATCAGATCATAATACTAGAACTGACAGAAAGAATAGAAACAGTACTAAAAAGCTGCGCTATTCCGCTACTGTTACTTCTCATCACCATCATCATCACAATCAATCACAGCGCTCTTGATTACTTTTCTGGCCGACACCATCACCCACCTTCTCATCATCAATATCATCATCTCCAACATGATCATGAGCTTGATGATGATGGTCGCCATCGTCACTGTCGTCACCATCATCCTGCCCAAAAACGGCCAGCAAGGCTTCGATGAGTGTCGAGAAGCCGCGAGTCTGCGAGGCCAAGAAGCCAGGAGGCCGACAAGGCCCAGTCATAGTACGCATGTTACCACGAAGCCCAGAAACCAAGAAGCCCAGAAGCCAAGCAGCTGAGAAGCCAAGAAGCCAAGAACCCGAGAAGCCAAGAAGCCAGGAAGCCGACTAGGCTCGGAAGTGCTACGCACGTAACCAGGAAGCCGCGGAGCCACAAGAAGCCAGGAAGCCGACAAGCCCCAGTCATAGTACGCATGTTATCACGATGCCCAGAAGCCAAGAAGCCCAGAAGCCCAGAAGCCAAGCAGCTGAGAAGCCAAGAAACCACGAACTGAGAAGCCAAGAAGCCAGGAAGTGATAAAACCCGGAAGTGCTACACACGTTACCCCGAAGCAAGCCAAGAAGCCGCGGAGCCACAAGAAGCCAGGAAGCCCAGAAGCTAGAAATCAAGAAGGGAGGCTGAGAAGCCCAGAAGCCGGAGGCCACCAAGCCAGCAAAGCAACAAAATACCTCGTAAATGCTAAGTTTTGTTTTTGATCCTTTTTAGGTTTTGTTTAATCCTTTTTAAATTTGTTTTTGACCCCTCTCCCCTCAGGGTCCCGGTTCTCATGTGTATGTTGCACAAGAGCGTCACCGCCGTGAAGGGCGTGTGAGTACGGCTCTGACCATGTGTGCCAACAGCGCAGTCGCCCAGGGAAGCTTCCTCGTGTTTGCTCTGAGGCCGACGGTGCCAGCGTGATAGAAGGTGCCGACTGAGAAGGTTTTGGCGGGTAGCCCCTTCTTGGTGAGCGCTGCCGGCCTGAGGTGTGCTTGTCATAGAGTTGACATTGGCATTCTTGTTCGACTTCGTGTTCCGCAGGCCCTTCAATTGCAAGTGGAGGTGGATCTGCGTCAAGGGGGAGGCCGTGCGCTAGTCTCACTTGATACTCTGCAACGTCCGAGTCGGCGTCGATGTCGGTAAGGATGGGGTCGTCTAGCGTAGCATCGGCAGCTCTTCTCTTCTTCGCTCTCTTCGGCGCCATTGGCATGAGGCGTGATGGGAGCCATGAAGCTAAAAAACTACACCGGATAAGGAATAAAGGAAGTGGATGATTTGGATCCAAGTCACACTGGCGCTCTGTTCTGAGTGCGGGCTCTGTGGGTTGAGGAATCCGAGCCTACGATCAAGCCGGCAAGGTCGTCGGCTTGTTGCTCTCATGAGTGCACAATAATGAATCAACAATCACTCAAGATCAAACAACTCATTCAGCTCCAGAATGCAATCATCGGTCTGAGATCTTTTGCCAGGGGCAATGAGCCAGTCTTGAGCCAATGCCGAATATCAGGCATTGATGTTCTTAGGTCCAGAATGGGCTGAACAATGGCCATGCTGTCTAACACGGTCCCTTGATTGTGACAATCCTTGTCATCAATCACAACTATACAAGTTCAGCTCAGTCGCCTAAGGTGAAAGCGGAGTAAGTCAATAGGACAATTTAGATCTCAGAATCGCAATCATGTACAAAGCAAACGGTACGCACCACAACGGCAATCACTAACTGCACTTACCGGTCTCAATCAATTTTGCACCCAATTCAGCTGTTGTCCAAATGCTGTCACCAATCTAACCACTTGCAATGCAATCATCACCCAGGAAAATCCGTCGGTACATCGCAATGCAGCAGTTGAAGAAATGGCTTCAGCAATCTTTCAGCAATCCAGAACCAGTAGAGCTGTTGTCCAATCCAGACAAACTGTTACCAACTGGTAACGCAATGCCAGAGGAGAAATCAAAATCGATCCATAGCGTGAGCCAATGCTGAGATGTACTCAAACGCAGAAAAGAAAAGTAGACAATGAATGTCTTGCTCAAATGAACGGTGAGCAATGATGACTTTGGTCTGTTGTCATCAATCTCTTCCCTTTCGCTTCTTGGCAATGGCCTCCGCAGCGGACACGAGAATACTGTACTCGCTGTGTCCGCCAATGATCCGGAAGCTCCTGGGGAGCCAATGCCCTCACTGCTCTGTCCAATGTCAGTTGCTGGCATTTCCAAGCAATCATCGTCCAAAAGGCTCAATTGGGGAACGCCCTCAAGTTGCATGGCAGACAACGGATAAGAGCAATGCCTGTGAACACCTTCAGTAGGCATCCAGTTCGCATAGGCAGAATTGTGGATCAATCCAGAAGTCTTCTCGACCGTCAATCCCGTGAGTTCGAGAATGATGGCCGTCTCACGACAATCACCTGGAAGGCAATAGCGGCAACCAGAATCATTCTCGTAGTCCGAATCAATCGTCAAGCACCATGAGCTGCCAATGAACGAGCAATTATTGTATCGGCGGAAACCGCCGTATCCATTCAATTGCTTCAGCTCGCACGTAATCATCGTGCGGCGTGGACGAAAGCAGAGCAGCTTGACAATCTCTCCATGTTGCACGTCACTGAATCGCTGTTGTCTGTACCAATGCGCCATTTTGCGCAATGCACCTTCCACTGTGTACAGTGCATTCAGTTGGCCCAATGGGGTAGGAATCAATGTCGTTTGGCTAGAAGCCAATGACTCAACAAGAGAGCTCGGAAGAGCAATGCAGACATACCAATCCGTCAGGGTGTCGATGGTGGCGTATCGCCTTGCACGAAACAATTGTGATCGCAATGCGATTTGCAAAGATCCTCCTCAATGCATCATAGCACTCCATCGCTTTGTCAATGATCATGAATGACAGATCCGTGACGAAAATGGGAATGTCTGAATCATTCGCAACCCCAGTCATATTTGCAATGCAGACATTTGCAACTTCAATCAGCCATAGCCAAACAATGCTGGCCATGCCGCAATTTGACCAAACACCATCCGGGGTCAATGTGCGAACGTAGCGGTTGCGTTAGCGGTTGTGTTGCAACCAGCCCAATGGCACCTCAATGGCTGAGATGCGATGGTTCCACTTAGCCATCTGTTTGCACAGGGCTGTCAGTTCCGTTTGGGTCGCGTCGACAATGAGCAGCATCTTACCGCAATTCATGTGCACAAATCCTCCTTCCGGACTCAGTGTGAATTCAATGTAATGATCCAGCGTTTGGATCAATTCATTCATTGCCACTTTCCACTGGTTAAGCTCCAGCACTGAGCCAATCATCGACAAATGAACATAGAAGAAGCTCAATGTCTCCGCCAATCGCGGGTAAACGGTATTCTCAGACCAGCGCAATTGGTGGCCTGGCTCATGAGAACGAGCACCAATCTGCCCGACAATCTCTTGGAATTGCGCAACGGGCGGAACATTCGCCACAATGGTGGGTGCTCCAACGGAGAATGTGGCTGTCGCTTCCATGGCAATGCACAAGGCAATGTTGATGCGAGTGTTGCTCTACAGTCGTTCAATGAACAAGCTACAAGAAATCGCAAGCGGGAGCAATCGAAGATTCAGCGTTCCGCAATGCGCACACTCCGGACATTCAACACAGCAATTTCGAAGAAATATCGGCAATGTTTTAACCAAAAGAAATCATTTGGTAGAGCTCGAAAGAATGAATGTTCGGCTCTCAATGCCAGAACCTATAGACATCTTTCCTATGCACATCCTCTCCAATCATGAAATAAAAAGTCGAATGCGTGCTGTGCACACAATCCTATTTGATGCCAATAAAACGAAGATGAAACACTTCCTTCAATTTCCAAACAACTTTGAAACACCTTAGTGACAATGCACTTGCAGAGCTCACTGAATTCTCTCAATTCCACACCTTCTTTGTTTTCTCTTTTGTAATGCAATGCACTCTAAGGTCCGGACATACACCTGTCGTGCACAATCACAAATTTCGCAATAGCGACCCCTCAAATGAGAACGCATGCCCTCATGTGAAACAAGGGAGAAACAATGTTTACTTGGTTTTAAGAGTTTTCTTCGGAATGCAGGAGATACGAACAATCGAGATCAACTCGTCGCAGAAATCTGCAACAAGAATCTCGAGACTGCAATCACCTCGAACTTGTGGGTAGTGATAGTACCTAAACAGAATGACTTTACAATAGGTCGCAAAAACGCAGAACGAGGTTCCTCCAATATCAACCAAAACAACAACATGGACACAGATCGATCCGAGACATGTAGGGTCATGACATGCAATATCTTCCAGACGGTAGTCAAGGCAGTGACTGACTCGATGAACAGATCAATGTTTTCAATGAGCCACTCAGGATTCTTCACTTCATGACAGACTACAAGCTGGAATATGCTCCTATCCAAAATCAATGCAAGGAAGCACGTAGCATGACGACCTCCGGTGCGTGCCCATCAAATCCACCCCACCAGCCACCCCCTTTCACCGCCCGGAGTAAATACAAGCCGGGGAATCTGGGATTCGAAAGAATCCACAAAGGGGGATATAAATACGGATATGTTGAAACAATCCGAAGTATATTTCATATGAAATTGCAGACAGCTCCAACGCTCACACATGTGGCAACTGACATGACTGCAAAAGAAGCCCTCTCAACGCTCACACATGTGGCAACTGACATGACTGCAATAGGGAAGCGCACAAATGTTTTGCCCATAGAAGGATCGGAATTCCCATTCGGCGAAAGCCACATCTCGAGATCATCATGCCGCAGCGCCTTTGGCGAAAGACGGCCCACCAGGTTTTCAAGTCAAGAGATGTGCCGATCACCAGGATTGGGAGGGTGGGAGCTTCAAATCTCACC